TTGTAACATTACATTTTCACATGGTGGGTTAGCTCACAAGTCAGGCTTTCACTGTTTTGTATAGATCATTCAAAACTGATTCGAGATGATGTTAGTTTCTTCCTAACTCAAGATGAAGTATTGAATCTCAAAAATCGTGGACATTTTATTAGAATTTGAGAACTTGATTTATTAATAGAAAAGTTGAGCAAAGTATCTTTAAAAGACAAAAAACCAAAAACCATGAAAAAATTTAACAAATTTAATCTTTTTCTTTTGAACTTGAAATTTCAACAGGGTTTAGAAACAGAGTGAGGATTATAAATGGTAATGGTAATCATTTTATTTGGTATTAATTTGCCCAGAAATCTTTTGGTGATTGCTAATGAAATAAAAAACAAAATTATTTTAACTAAGAGTTGAAATTCAGGTAGAGAATAATAGAATTGTTAAGGACCTCTAAGATAATTTGTTCCATATTTTTAGCTGAATATACATTTCAACCTAAGTGTCTCTACCTGTTCAGAGTTCCATGAGAGAATTAGAACCCGCAGAATATTCATTTTAAGAGATTAATTGCTAGGAACTGGTTTATGTGACTGTGAGGATTGAGTAGTTTGAAATCCAATCATAGGGCAGGCTATCAAGAAGGACAAGCTGAGCTCTTGGACAAGAGCTGAAGCTGCAGTCCATGAGCAGAATTTGTTTTCAGAAAAGCCTCAATCCTGCTCTTAAGGCCTTTACAACTGATTGAATTAGAATCACCCTTATTATCCGGGATAATCTTCCGTACTTAAAGTGGAGTGATTATAGATCTTGATCATTTATAACCATATACTTTTACAGTAACACCTAGATTAATGTTTGGATAACTGAAAACTATAGCCTAGTCGTGTTGACTCATAAAACTGATCATCACAGTGACCTTGTAACAATACTGGGTTGTAAACACAGAATTTTATTCATCAGTTTTGTCACATAAATATTTATTTAGATATTATATTTAAAAAGTGATGAGCTAGTCTCAGTTTTTACTGTGAATCACAAAAGAATGATATAGTAACTATATTCTGATAACCTTTCATACTAACATACTCACAATTTACCTTTTTTCCTCTTAAGTAAAAAATATTTATTTAGATATTTCTTTTAGTCTCTTCTGATTCAACTCCTTCATTATCTTTCTTGCTGAATATTGTACTCTTTTCAGTTTCTTAGCATTGACTGGAAACATACAGTTCAGGTTGTAGTTACACTGCAGTGATACTTGGCATTCATCAAATATTTGTTAGAAGAAAGATTATTTCACAGTTCTTGTATGTTTCGCTCTTTAAAGTTCATCTTAGTGTCACATTTGTTTTTTATAAATAATGCCACTACATTGCTGACTTATATTTGGCACATTACTATTCCCAGATATTTTTGTCATATTTTATTCTGTGAAACTATATTGTTTTTATAACAAACAGAAGTTATTTTCAAACAGTGGTCCAGAGTTTCAGGATGAAGACTCTCTAATGATTTCTTGAAAAAACTGGTTCATATTGGAAACATTGTTTTGGTGTATATTCCATTACCTCTGGGAGAAACTTTGATATTCTGCCAAGGATTATGTCTTTGCTGTATTAAAGTAATGGTTTAAAGTTCCATAGAATCCTGAAGCTTTGGCAACTCTGGTTTATGATATTTTGAAGGAGTTTCCAGAAGAAGCCCAGCAATTTTTTTTTCTAAATTATTTTAAGCCAGACAAATTTTAATCTAGTGCCAACACTTTGGAAATATCTCATGGTATGGAGACTTATGGATAGCCAACTTAAAATTATAAATTAACGGAACATACATGTTTTAATAAATTCTGTTGTTTTTGTCTTATATTTGAAATCAGCACTATTGAGACATTATTATGCCTAGTTTACAACAAAGGCATATAATTTTCTACACAGGACAGATCTCTATTTAGATAATGACTATCATATAAGACTCTTACTCATTTCTGATGGCTACATCATGCCTTTGCTGAAGTTAATTTATTTAACAAATAGTTTTGTATTAGATACTTGCATGTTTGAGGTGCCATGCACGTTTTTTATTTTTTTTTATGTTTATTTATTTTTGAAGGAGAGAAAGACAGAGTGTGAGCAGGGAGGGGCAGAGAGAGAGGGAGACACCAAATCTGAAACAGGCTCCATCCTCCAGGCTGTCAGCACACAGCCTGACACAGAGCTCAACATGGAGCTCAAACTCACGAGCAGTGAGATCATGACCTAAGCCGAAGTCAGATGCTTAACCAACCGAGCCACCCAGGCACCCCTTGAGGTACCAGTTTTAGACACTGATGATACATTTTGAACAAGACCAACATTCCTGCCATCATGAAGCATATTATCTAGTGGAGGACAAAGACAATCAATGAAAATGTATACAGATTCTTAGAGTTGAAATAAGTGCTACTAAAGTACAGTGTAGAATTGATTATATTATAGGAGGAGCAAATTGATCTGGGGGCACCAGAAAAGTGTTCCTTAAGGAAGTCACATTTAACTAAGCAACAAATAATAATAATAATAATAATAATAATAATAGCTAGCATTTAGATAGTGATTGCTATGTGCCAGGCACTATTCTTGACCCTTATTATGTATTAACTTATTTCAACCTAAGAACTCTATGAGGTAGGTGCTTTTTTTTTTCCTCATTTTATAGAAGACGTAACTGTGGCACAGAGAGAGAGTAGCAAATTCCTCCAAGGTCACAGAGCCAATGAGTAGTAAGCCTGGGATTTGAGCTTAAACAGATGAGTTTGTGCTCTTAACCACTATGTTTCTTGATAGGAGTTAGCTGGGAGAAGAAATGGGGAAGATCATTTCAGGCTAGTACTTCAAGATGGGAGCGAGAAGGCCAGCACGACTGGAAGTTGATGAGCCAAAGTAACAAAAGATGAAGGTAGAGAGGGAGTTATGTATTCAGATTTATTATTATTTTATCACTTAGACTTTAGTATGAAAATATGATGGAGGGTAAGAAGAATTAACGTGAGATCAATTAAGAGATTATTGCAATGATCGAATGAGAGGATACTGGCTTAGACCCACATTGTGGTGGATGGAGCAAACCATGGACCCTGGAAATATTTGGGAGATAGAAATAGCAGGGCTTTTTGTTTGGATTTGAGAAAGGGAGATTACTCCTAAGTTTCTAGCCGAAGCAGCAGGCAGGATGGTGTTACTAGTTTTCTGATAGCACTCAAGGGAAGAGACTTAGGAAGCAAAGGATAAGCTCAATTTGAGTTCTGTCAAGTTTGAGGTGACTTTTGTGTTAAAGTGAGAAATTATCTATAAAAGTCTGCAATGCAGAAAGGAGTTCTGGACTTGAAATAAAACTTGCCAATTTTTTAGCCCTGGGAGTAAATGAGAAAACACAGTGTGAAGATCCAGAATCAAAGGTGGAGGAACTGGAAGCATTTCAGTTAGGGTAGAACAGGTGCCACTGTACAGAGGAGACTGAGAACAGACAGCTGGGTAGGTATTAGGAAAAATGACAAAATGTTGTCAGATGAAAGCAAAGGAATGCAGCAGCTTCCCATTTGGTTTTTCTGATAGTATTATTTGTTTTTTCCTCTTAGAATTTCATAGTTGTACTAAATTGCTTCAGGTTCAACTTTGCTTACTTTTTTGACTGAACTGTTTTTCTTTTTCATTCTCTTTTTCCTTTTCTCCCCCTCATTAAATGTTCTTTTAAATTTAATTTTCTGTAAGTCCCTATTTAGATCACTTGGAGTCTTTCATCTGACAGTGATGGCTTTCATATAGAGCATTTGTAGTTTTTCTGTTTCTGATCATTCTGTATAATGCCACCACTTCCGACAGCTTCAGCTTCTGAAACTTAACCCCTGTGATATACTGCCCTCATACCTCGCATGACTGCCTGTATACCATTGTCCTTCATCTCTACTCCCACATGCAAGCCCATATTTTGAACCGGTTGTTACTGAGAGTTGTTCCTCATGCTAGATCTCCTGTTCTGAAATTCTCCTTTCCCATCTGCTATTTCATTTTTTCTACCTTAACTACTTTTCATTTTCATCAAACCTCTTTGCAGTGGTCACTATTCTCAATCTGTTTGTGCTCTTACTTCTTTGTTTCATCCTAGTCTGCCATCTATATTTTGTGTTAACTTTCTTCCTTATCTAACCCATTTTGCATAGATAGTCACAGAACCCCAATTTCTTTTAAACCCTTGATCTCTCCTGAAATAACTTTAGAAGTTCCCAACCACTTGTAAAACCAGTTGTACTTTTCTCTCACTCCTCTTACATTCATTCATTTAAAAAAAAAAAAATGTGTCAGACAATGTGTTAGTCATTAGGGATAAGTGATGAAAAATATATATATATAGATTGACCCTCAGAACTGTGCTATCGTATTCTTCATCTGTTGGAAAATAAAAATTACATCATAATATTGATTGTGCCCACCAAAATTTTATATTATTACTTAATCTTAGCAGGCCCCATGATGTTACAAATAATCCCACATCAATTTTCTGTTCTTTCTTCATAGTCATGATTCAGAACATTTCTGCTTTTCTCAAGTTTCTAAACTCAGTTTCAAAACCTTGTGTTTGAACCAGACTGCCAAGACAATTTGTCCCTAGCTCCCAATTTCCCTTTCGCTTCAAAATTTCTTTATATCTTCATCCAAGATTTTCCTTTTCCTAGTCTGTGTCAGAAGAAGGGTCACTTCTTTCTTCCAAAAGTAAAACTTTCCATCTGTTTTTCCTGATGCGCACGGGAGAAACTCTAGACAAAAATACAAGATGACATGAAATTGTTATTTAATGTGATGTTTTATTGCATATTTATTCTCTTTTATATACTTGGTAACTATGTGGTTAATATAGAGTTTGAAAAACTCTTGAAATACTGTTAACGCTGTAAGTTAATATTTTTAATGGGCTATATTATTTTGTTATTAAACATTTTTTAAATCAAATATAAAGTGGATTTACTTTGTTTTACTCAGAGAGACTGGTGGTGGTAGCTGAACACTGTGAACGGAGTCTAGAAGACTTGCTTCGAGAGAGGAAACCCATGAGGTACCGTGTTATATCAGGACAATTAAATGAACAGCAGAAATTGGCAAAAAAAAAAAAAAAAGGCATTTTAACTAGAAACTGCAGAGTTTTTATTTCTTTTGTTACTTGTTTAATGATAAAATCCAGGTGTAAATTTTATTTTAGGAAATTTAATTCACAGGCCTCACAAAAATTCAATGTTGACATTGTCCAGTGTCCAGTTTTTATGAGCTAGGCATTCTCCAGAGTGCTTAGCAAAAAAATTCCTAAAAAAGATATATATGAAAATTTGAAATGTTTTCAGTACTAAGCATTTCTGTAGGTGAGATTAAGAGTATTTTCCTATGAGTAGTACTTGGTAACTTCTAACTGGTATTCCTAGGGACATAGTAAGTTGTGTTAAGGAAAGACCATGTTGAATGGAGAGAGAATAATCATAGCTTGGGTGGAATCTAATGATATAGGTTAAATTACATTAATTCAGTGGTTCAGTAGTTACTTTCTGTCTCAGACATTTCTGGCAAGAAATGTATATTTCTTGGTATATATATTATTACAAATATACTACTAAATGAATTTCTTCACACATTTTTCTGAAATTATCTTAAAATCATGGGAAATATTACTTTAAAGTTGTACTAAGCCAATGAAAAATGTTTGCCGTAAGTCTTTGTAGGATTGTAATTATCCATCCTCTTTTGAAGAAATATTCTTATTCTTGATTAATACTTTTAAATCACTGCTATATCCTAGATGAAACAAATTTTTTTCAAGGGAGGAAAAAAATGTGTATCTTGCAAATTGAATAAAATACTTTCCTTGATCCTTTAAATGATTTGATTTTAAGTGTTCTCTAGAATGAAAGAATGCACATACCAAGTATACCATTGCCTTACTTCTTTGGAAGAGTCTAATCTGACCATAGGTACTAAAAGTGACTTTTGTATATATTTAGAAGTAGCTTAGCCTTATTTAATGAATATGTTTTTATAATTATGATTTTTACATGTCATAGTCTTTGATTTTGTGTTTTTAAGAACATCTTATTCTGTTTGCCAGTGTAAATTATCCTTTAATTTATAGCCACTGATGTTAAAAAGTATTCTCTGTGAAAACTAGTTGACATCAAAATTGAAAACAAATTGTAGTCACATCTTGATGAAAAAAAAAAACAACAAAACAACACTTTATTTTAAATCTGCTTGGGTTAAATTTGTATAAAGATTAAAACTAATTGTAGCCATGTCTTTAGCTAGGAAATATATAACTGAGCCTGGGTTAACTTTGTATAATGATGTTCAATGCATTATGTATGATGAAAAAGCCACTAACTAGTTGGGCAGCCTTGGACAATTCTTTTAATCATATTTCTTATCAATAAAACAGGGAGTTTTAGTTGATCTAGGGATCATTCTAGGGGAAATTATTAACTTTATATTTTATTTAATATGTATTAAGTTTGATAGTAATATATTGATCTACTGCCTTTGGAAGTATATTTATTTTTTCTTATGCTAATATAATAACCTACCAATGCCCTTTATTTAAATGGTAGATTTCATGACAAATCTAAGTGTAAAATTTCAGTGCTGTATTTTAAAAGGCAAATTGTTATAGAAACAAAAGTTTTATGATTCAGCAATTCCACTCCTTGGTAGAGGACCTTCTTAACTGTTGTCTCCAAGGTACCTCATTTACCTCACTCTAATCCTAGCCCTGCTTTGGTATTTAACCAAGAGAAAGGAGAAATACATATTCACTAAAATATCTGCACAACAATGTTCCCAGAAACATTATTCATAGTAGCCCCTGACTGGGAAGAACTGAAGTGTCCATCAATGGAAGAATGAATCATGTTATTTTAATCAAAAATAAAAAGGAATGAACTATTGCTACATACAACATGATGAGCCTTAAAAATATGCTGAGCAAAAGAAGCCAGTTCTAGAATGATCAGAACTTATGGTGATAGATATAAAAACAGTACTCAACTCTGGTTGGGAGAAGGGACAATGTAGGAACTGATTCAAAATAGCCTTGACAAGGAAACTATCTGGATTATGGAAATTTTTTACATCTTGATCAAGGTATTACTTATGTGGTGCATTTTCTTGCAAAACTTAAAGTTCACTGGAATATACACTTCAGATGTGTGCATCTCAACTATGTAAATTATGCCTCATTTATTAAAAAAAAAAAAAAAACTTGTTCCATTATTTACTTGGCTTGAATTCTAAATCCCTTATATAGCAACAATATTATGTTGTTAATGAAGGTGCTTGATCCAATGGCATACCTGTTTGTATTTCTTTGTTTCTATAAGAAGAAATAGTGTGAATTAGTTGTTGCTGCTTAACCAGTACCTCAACACTTAGTGGTTTAAAAACAATAAACTTTTATCCTTTCATATAATTTCTCAGGGTCAAGAATTCAGGAATGAATTAGCTAGATGGTTTTAACTCAGGATCTCATGAGGTTGGTTGCAGTCCATATATAAACTCGAGCTATAATCATCTGAAAGGTTGACAGGCTAGATGATCTGTTTCTAAGATAACTCACTCATTTGGTGCCAGTTGTTGATAGTAGACTTTAATTCTTCTTTATTTTGAGGGCCTTTCCACTGGTGTTTGTCTATCCTTACAGTATGGGGTTGACTTCTCTAAGTTTCTATTCCTTTTATGACCTAGCCTCAGGAACCACACACCATCATATCTGAAATAGTCAACTGAATACAGAAGTCAGCCATTCTATTCAGTATGGGAGGGGACTACATAAGAATATGAATCTTAAACATCAGGGATCGATCCTTGGGCATCTTCTTAGAAGCTGGCTGTCATAGAAGTCTTAGAGATCATACATGTAATTAAAAAAAAAAAAAAACAGGAGGGAAATGCTAAACCAACATTAACTGAAAAATAACTTAAAAATTAATTTCTTAAAATTATTCAGTATTCATTTAGGCTACATGAGACAGAAAAAAGGAAGAGTTTATACCATGAAGAGAAGGTAGAGTATTAAGGGAATCAAAGTACTAAAGGTGGACCAAGGTCTTCATGGACATGAAGAAAGTTATTAAGATCATAATTGATCTACATTCTGAAAATTGATGTTATCCATGGGCTTACGCTCCCAGTCATTCTGGAGGACCCTGTAAGCTACAACTAGATTAATTCTCTGGTCATCAGGGTAATAGTAACTGTAGACTGTTCCTTCTGATATTGAATTTTCTTTCTCTGTTCCTACTTGTTATTCCTTTACTTACTAAAAAGTCTAAGACAGAAAAGAGAAGCTGGTGCCTTAGATAAATTTCATTTTACCTCCTGCTCTGTCCTTTCACTGTTTTTTTTTTCTTTTTTTACTTTCAATTGTACTGTAAAAAGATATAATTGATATTGCTTTGCCAATAAGATTAAATCCATTAACTTGTGGAAAGTTTTACTTTTCTATACTCATCAGCTTTTATCATTGTTTTAGAGACAAATCTGATAGCACTGAACACTAGGAGTTTTAACAGTACAAAGGTGTAAAGAAGCCACCTTTCTTCAATGCCTTTGTATGTCTTCATGAGGATAAAATGTTACAGATAGAGGCATATTCTTTGAGTAGATAAACATGAATAGCATTTATGCAGATTTCATGTTGTCTCTCATACCATTTACATTTCTTTTTTTTTTTTTTTAATGTTTATTTATTTTTGAGAGAGAGACACAGCGCGAGCAGGAAAGGGGCAGAGAGAGAGAGGGAGACACAGAATCAGCACAGAGCTGGATGCCAGGCTTGAACTCACAAGCTTACCAACTGCGAGATCATGACCTGAGCTGAAGTTGGACACTTAACCAACTGACCCACCCAGGCGCCCCGCATTTACATTTCTAATAGTCATTTTCACTTATGTAAAGTAGAACATATAGTAGTTTTTATGGATCTTTGCAATTTCTTCAAGTAAGATATATTTAAACAGTTTTGTAACTAAAGTACTATGTTCTAATCATTCTGGTAACAGACTAAAATTCAGTATTTTCCTCATTCATTTTGGAGTAAAACATTCAGCAGTTACTGCCTTTGAGTAGACATGATTCTTTCAGGTTCAGTTCCAAGTTGTTATCTGATCCATCCATCTAAATTAGCTTTGTTGAAAACTATTTGACTTTCCACATATTTGGATTACATTAGTCTCCAATAACAGCAGATTTCATGTGCAGAGTTGCTGTATTGCAATTTTAATTAATTCTGTAACCTGTTTATGGAAAGTGAGAAGATGTCCTTATGGCTTATAAATCATATAAATTTCCCCTACTGCCAAAAGTAAGCACCCTGCACCTGTAAGAAAGGCTGATGCAAAGTAAACAGGAAATCTATTTAGATGGGCTTGCAATTTGAGACCCAGGATTTTTACTTGTCCATCTGTCTCTAACTGTTGCAGAACTGTGAGCTGCCAGTTGTCTGGTAGTTATCTGTAGGTCATTGTCTAAACTTAAACATCATCCAAGGCATATATCTTACTGGGTTTATATTTTGAAGAAAAATTTAACTCTTTTGTAAAATTGGTGAAATAGGGGATAAGGGAATGAAAACTAGAAACTTAGAGACATGTCTTATGTCAGTTGACTCACTTTTTTCATAACACATTTAATATCATTGAACTAAGTGATATTATACTAAAACATTATAGTAGTAATGCATATTACAAATATATTATAACTTGGGGCACCTGGGTGGCTCACTAGGATGAGTGTCCAATTCTTGATTTCAGCTCAGGTCATGATCCCAGGGACATGGGATCTAGCCCAGCTTCAGGCTCTGTGCTCAGCACAGAGCTTCCTTAAGATTCTCTCTCTTCTCCTCTCTCTGCCTCTCTTCCCTGTTCACGCACACACTCTCTCACTCTCTCTCTCTAAAAAAAAAAAAAAAAAAAAAAAAAAAACAGTGGCACCTGGGTGGCTTAGTTGGTTAAGTGTCCAACTCTTGATTTCAGCTCAGGTCATGATTTCAGGGTTCATGAGATCAAGCCCCACATCAGG